AAAGAGGATTTAGTTCAGCGCTCGATCAAGCTTCGAAACAATCCGTGTCAGTGGGATATATACGATGTCACCAGACCAGTCAGTATTCCTTTCTATGTGCGACTTGGTTGTCAAAAATGCTATTCCATATCTAAGGCCGTCCGAGAAAAAAGAAAAAGGTTGCTCCAGACTCCTCCACCTCCGTCATCTGTATCGTGTGAAAAAAAAAAAATCATTTCCTTCCTTCTTTCAGTCTGGTGTGTTGATGCAACGGAACACCCATTCCCAACCAATCTAGGAACGGTGCCAATCGGGAAATATTGTGAAAATGGTGCAGTACAGGAGAGAGGGGTTACACATAAGGAAAAGGGAAAAAAGGTGTGAAAGGATTGTGTGTGAAGGTGCGAATATACAAACAAAAGAAAAAAACCCAAGCAATTACGCAACCAACCAAACCCCCTTTGACTCCTTTACGCCGTCCGCATATAACCACATGAGCCATTTGACTGCCATCTGTTCCTGCTAACTTGGTATTCTCCTCTTCTTATTCCTGTCTATGTCCTCGCCTCAGAGCGTGGAACACAGCAACTAATCAATCCATCACAAAACTACTGCGAAATCGGATCAGTGCGCTCCACCGTTGTCGTCTCGTAACCAAGCTGCTTGGAGTCCGCACTAATCTCAACCGAAGGCGTATCCGGCGTAATCATGACCTTTGGCGGTAACAAGGCCTCGTGGCTGGGCGTGGCTTCAACTTGCTCACTCATCTGCTTATCTCCCGTGGTCTGCTCTTCTCCTGCCTTGGTGTTAACAGCCAATTCCACCTGCTTAGCTGTGGCTTCTTTGCTATTCTTGTCGTCCTCATTCTCAACATCTCTCTCCTTCGCACTCGTCTCAAGCTCAATCTGGCTGAGTCTTCTTCCAGCATTCTCGCCCTCGATGCTGACTTCCACCACCTCTGCTAGACTTCGGAAGTTGAGAAGAGGTTCGGTGCTAGCGCTCGGGTCCCTATCCCGCTCTTCGTCACCACCATTCTCGCTTCCACCAGAACGGCTTCCCAGACTAAGTCCACTACCACGAGGGCCTTGTAGTTGCGATGGCGAAGTGAAGCTACCTGGGCGGCTGTCCTCGAGGATGGATGATGAAGCAGATGAGGCGCTGCTCATCTGTCGAAGATGTGACGGACCCACAGGGACGTGTGGGAAAGGAATGGGCCGCGGGGCAGAAGTCGAGGCGTCGGCTGATTCCGCAACGCCCTCTGGAGCGCCAGTCTCACTCCGGTCAACTGCTTTTCCCTTGTCCTTTGAGCTGGCGTCCGACTCTGGAATCGGGGGAGCTGCACTGGTAGCACCAGCCTCAACTTGCAGGTTGCTAGCAGCACTATTGCCTCGCTTCCTACCGAACCCAAGACCAGGCAGACTCAAGGCACTTGCATTCCGGGAGCTGTGACCACTGCGTCCACCGGAACTCTCATACGGTCCTCCCTGCCTCGCGGCTGTCTTGGCAGCCTTTTTTTCCTCCTTTTCCCGTTTCTTTGCCTCTTTCTTTTCCTCCTTCTCTGCCTTGCGTCTCTTTTCTTCTTCCTCTTTTTCTGCCTTGCGTTTTCGTTCTTCCTCTGAAGCAATCGACAGACGAACTGCTTCCAAAAACATCATCTCCTCGAGCTCTTCGGCATTCACGCGACCAGGTCTGCTAGCACCTCCGCCGCCACCAGAAGTTATTACCACCCGGTTTCCCTCGGGTGCCGATGCCCCCTGAGACGGAGTTGCAGAGCCGCTATTCCCATTCTCTCCCTCGCCATTGTTAGCCGTACTAGGCGAAGCCGCTGCAGAGCCTGATCCGCCAGTGTTGCGCCGGCTGAACCGGCTTCGGAATGCTCGGCTGTTCTCGTTGTTTCCGATAAGAAAAGCTGCCGTATGTAAAGCAGTGGCAGCAGCAGCCCGCCTGGCTTGGTGACTGCGGGCTGCCTGTAGCTTGTTTGACCACTCCGGCCTGATCCTGTCGGTCAGAATGACATTCGGACTATTAGCAGACAGAGAGTGTCCCCGACGACGGCCACTGCCACCGGGAGACAAATTGCCCGAGTTCACCGAGCTGCTCGAGGACATGGCCGTGTTGGTGCTCCCCGCAGCGAGAGGAGATATTGCGTAGGTCAATCCTCGACGGAATGGGGGTGGTTCATAAGTAACACCAAAATCGGGCTGCGTGCAATAAGGGCAGCACGCAGGTTCTGAAATCAACAAGCCAGCTGCCTCTTCAGGATTGTGATTCGGATCATTCTCGTTGTGGCCCTCCGGAAAATGAGGATCTGGTCGCTTAATCTGTACGAAACACTCACTGCAGATGGGCTGGCCACAACACCGCGTCTGGTTCAGATAAGGAGGGTATGTAAGGAAGCAAATGGGACACTCGGTGGCGTTCTTGTACAGGAACACCTCGATCGGTTGTCCATTCACAAACGGATCGTGCGGCAAATTGATTTCACGGGGCATAATCTCTGTGGTCGAGCCATTTCGGGAGTTTCCGCCTAGGACGGCGGCTATTGCCTTGCCACGCGGCGGTTTGAACGGGGAGGCGGTTCGTGGAAGCGAGCTCGAGATTGAGGCTGGCGACGGGAGAGCCGAACCGGTGTGGGAGCCACTTTGTTCAGACGCTGCAGATTGTGAGCGACCACCGATCGGAACTGTTAGGTTTTTGAAATTCTGGGTTGCTTCCTCCTGGGGCTTCACCGGAAGAGGCCGCGGAATTAATTCTTCAGGAGGGGTCTGATCGGCTGGCGGAACAGGAAGTCCGCGCGCTGCAGCAATGATCTGGGGTTCGGTCCATTGATCATCGACATCATTGAGGCCTCTCCAGAATGGGGCAATCTTTCTTTCAATCTACCCCAAAGGTTAGTACGTCGTTGCCATGACAGGTTACCCACATGCAAGTACACACCTGTAGCTGCCGAACAATCGACTTGTTGAAATCCTCGGAGCCGGTGTATGTGCCCATGGTGACGAGAAACCCGCCGTCGATATGTTCCTCCTTCATACTCCGCTCTCTTTCGGCGATCCTTGCAACCCGTTCCTTCTCCAGCCGCCGGGCTTCCCTTTCTTGTTTGGTCTCTCGGCGCTCATGTGAATGCTCTCCCTGTGAGCTGGAACCTCCAGTCAATCCTAGAAATCCCCCAAGCTCCCCTCGACTGACTCTGTTCCTCCGATGCGACCTGTCTGTATGCAGCGATGCACTGGCGCCATCTTGACCGTGATGGCCGCGATGGCCGGCATCACCACCACGCGACTCCTTTGTGCTCGCATTCCCCATGGCTGAAATGTAGAACGACCTAGCAAGTCATTCGCGGTCGTTGGAATAAGCAGCGATAATACGGATGTTGAGTTGTCGGGAAGATCGGACGCGGGATTGACGGCGGCGGTCGGTAGTGGTGGCGGGGGATCTCGGGTGGGGAAGCCGTCGGTGACGTCGGTGGTTTAACAGGTTATGGGTGGTTGTGAAGTCAATTCAGGATCCAAAGATGTGCATCCGCGAGCTGGAAACCCCAGGCCAGGATGACTTGGGGTCGAGGTTGTATCAGAAAGTAGGAAGTCGGGTAAAGATGGGATGATGATGACGATGATCGACGAGGGAGATGAGGTCGGGTTGTGTGCGGATGTGGCTGATTGTTGGTTGGTCGGTGGTCCGAGGTAGGTTCGCTTTAATCGATGTAGCTGCGAGTGGAAGATTCGGATTTGCCTATCGCCCTGTGGGTTGCTGTGTCCAGTCTGTATCGCAGGTGAAGCGATTTGACGATAACACACCGTAACACCCGTCGCTGTTGCTTGTAACCGGATATGGCGGAGGCGGCTAGGACGGGAACAGCAACCTTGGAATGATCTATCTTCAGACCAATCCACGACGATGGCGCTCTTCACCGAGGTTCTACAAACGGAACAACCAGGCAAAACCACAACAAAGAAAGCGCCGTAGTGTTGTCTTTCGGCGGGTCGCGGTTCGATTGTTGGCGAGGGTCTCGTCGAAGGGTATGTGAGATGCGGGAGTTGTATGCCAAGACAAGCCCCCCCAAGCACCACCACAGCCCAGAACGTGTTGAAGCTCACAGGGATTGGTCGTCTCTCCCCCGTGTTTCACAGCTCACCCCGATAGCCGAATATTAGGTCACGCTAGCGTGTGATTGACCCCATCGTCCGTTCACCCCGCCTAAACCGAACAACAACAACATAACAATATCACAGCATCGTCAGTTACTTCATTTCAAGTGGCCTCTTTTCTTTTTTTTGTATATCATTCCAATTCGAGCAGGTGCTCAAATTGATTCATCTTAATTTGACCACATCCAGGTATGCACTTCTTGAATATTCGACAGGATGTCATCCAAACCCATCGCATTTCATCTGTAGCCAAGGAATGAGTAGATGGGCAAGCGCGTGCTTGGTTTGTGGCACCCTGTAATCACCATCCCTTCCTCTTTGGTCGAAATACCACGATACACAAGAAACGATCCATTTTTGAGTTCAAACATTGACTCAGGCTGCCGGCCAGCATCGGCATGTATTGGAACACATGGTGGGATGCGATACTTGGATGAGTCAAGATGAAGCTCTCATTATAGTCAACTCTGCCTTCCACAGGACCTTCTCCGGCTTTATCCTTCCGAAGCTTGGATCTTATCCGGTGCCCTTTTGGTGGTATCCATCACCGTCAACCTTCAGTTGTGTTTCTGCTTCATTCGGTTCAGGGCACATGCAGTTCGAACGGGATGTTTCCAAATATGCAGCTCCAATTTTCATTGGATATATTATCATCAATCCATGATCGTGTCCCCATTAAGATCACTACACACTTGTCTCGTAACACAAAAGAAGGGAAGGGTCTGAAAACAATATTCTCAAACCGCAAGCGGTGTATTCGGAATGTTGGTCACGATGCGTGCTGCCACTGACAGATAGAGCCCAGCTTGAGGAACTTAAGATGGATAAGTAGAAAAAAATGGAATAAAACAGCGAAAAAGTAGAGAAAAGATTTGTCCCCGGCCAGGTTCGAACTGACGTCTCTCGCTGTTATCGCTGTTTGAAAAGCAACGCTGAAGAAAACAACTCTAATCAGCAAGCGCGTAACCACTTCGCTACGGGGACATTGGTTCGGTCTCATTTTGGAATCTATATAGCTATGGGTTCCTCCTTTGGCCGGTTGCGGTGGGGTTTGCGGTGTTTTCTGCGGTTGTGGCTGCTTACTGAGAGAGAGAGGGAGTACCATCGTTGGGATGGAGCGTATGATGGAGAGGGAGTGTGATGTAGCTCGATTTGTTGATGAGGGAGAAGGTTAGATGGTTGGCATTGGCAGTCTTCAGGAGGCTCAAGTTGACCAGATCAAGTTCAATAGGAGAAGCGATGATTGCTTTTCTGGAACTATGGATTGGTTAGTTCAGATAACATGTGCTGTCCTGATCTTGAAGGCTGTCCCAAATCTATGTTGTCACTCTTCAAGTTCTCTAGGGAGATTCTTCCACTTTCGATCATAATTCAAAGCCAGGTGAGATTGGAAGATTACCAAAAGCAATCAGACAGTCCTTCCTCCCACTGTGACAAGGAACTGAACCTCCTCGCTTTGACGGGGGGAGAAATCTCACAACGGGATTGGCAATGACTTATATTATTGATCTGGTTTGTGACAGAAAGTACTGCCCTGGAGAGGCAAGTTGAAAGTCCTGAGTTATCTAATTGGAGAATCGTAGGTGTTTTTCACACCCTGGCTGTGACACTTCAATGGCGTCTCTGGCTGCTAAGATGAACTAGCTAGTATCATACAGTTTTGAATAGCTTAGCTCAAAAAAGCCACTATCAGCATGTTCATCAACTTTGAACAGCGAGCGTGTGTAGTCACGTTCGTTTTGACTGAGCAGCTTTGTCAATTACTTGACATTGACGCGGACCACGACAACTCTTGCACGCATGATGTGCTGAGACTTGAAATGTCCTTCTGCGCTGTGATCAACTAGCATAAGTCCTTCCCTGTAATTGTTATCCCCAATCATTCAATTCACATTCAACCCCTTCATGTAGAGTTCAACCACTCGTTTGCCGGCATCCAATGTACGGGTGGGCACGTTGGTTAACCCCCTTGACCACTCTCCTTCACCGACCAATACCGACTGACCCTTTGTATATTAGGTCCAACGATTACCTTCCAACAGCCCCCAGACAACACAACACTGGGCAATGGCCCAATGGTCTGGGGGTGACAACGCCAACCACCCTCGTCAACACCGACGGTTGAGAGAGAGGCCCCCCGTTCGAATCCTCGGCCGACCCACGGAGTAAACGCACCGAATGCGTTTCGCACCCGGGCACCTCCCCAAAAAAGGGGGGCTGCCCGGTTAGCTTTTGATATTTTTGTTATTGTCAATTCAATATAAACTCGAATTTTGAAAATACATGCAGACGGACGGCCTGAGGCTGATGTCTCGCAATCGAAGAGCACCAATACGACCGACTCAGCGATATTCAATCGAACTGACTGTTGACTCAGATGGACTCGGAATGTCTCGGACGCGGTGCAACTTTTCTGCTTATAATTCGCTTGCGGTTTCTGAGTATTGACTCGCAGCAATCTCTGCGAATTTCCATGCTCCACCAATCTTCCAGGTTACAGTCAGACAGCATGCACGTCGCCTCATGACTCTAATGGATTTTATGTAGGCAAGCAGCCGTGACAGCAGCGAACGAGATGGAACATGAAGTACTATACGGAGAAAGTAATGCATCTACACAAATATTTCGGAGCGACTACTGCATGACTCGGGAGTTATCGTTCAAGTCGATAATACAAGATGGTGCCACAATAGAACATGCGAGTCTTTAGCTTTTGCTTCGATCTCTCCAACTGAGGCTGTAATGTATCAACATTTGACTTTATTTCTCATCTGATTTTTACCTATCATCAATTTATGGACAGTTGAGCTCCAGGCCCCCCAGTCACTTTTTTGTTTTCTGTTTTAAGAAAAAAAAAATGACTGTTTCCCCTGATACTTATGGCTCGATACAAGTTTTATATTTTCATATTTTTTTTTTGAAGCTCATTGCATGAATACCCACCTGGTTGCTTTGCATCATGGTCCGAGTGATTGATGAAATTGATGAAGTTGAAAGTCAACCCGCACAAACTTGACACAGAAGTGGGGACGACAGTGGACGACTACCGAATGCTAGTTTAAACTTGACAGGCGTGGCGGAGGCATGGGCAAGATGATGTGAAGTTCGTCATCTTAGTCATCAATCACCCAATTGACTGCCATGCATCAAGCTATCGTCCAAAAATTTCGCGGTCCCAAAAGATCTGGATTGTAAATGACGCCGGTGGCAACCCGACGGAGAACAAGACCGGTGAAATATTTATTTACACCCCTTTTTGGGATCGACGTCCTGGCCCAATCTTGATGATTCATCATGATGTGGAATTCTAGAACTTTTGAGCGAGTTGAGGTGTGGGTGAACAGTGGAGGAAAAGCGGAAGGCCCAGTCTCGCTCAGCTCGGTTCCGGTTTCGTATTCGCAACGAAGCTGGGAGAGGGAACTTTCCAATTCTACAAGTAGGCAGGTTGTGCGGGGTATGTATGTATCTGTACCATAACCGTCATGTATTTCCTCCCGCGTAAAATATCGTACTGTATGTAAGCTGCAGCAACATGTCAACAAAAAACTGTGACTGAGCGATTTTGACACGTCCTGTCAGGCAGAGATGACATGCAGGTATGAGTCGTCCGGCAAGGCTTAGATCCGTCAACCCGAATGGCAGAAATCTGTCGCACTTTCGGTGTGCGCGCGGTGTTAACCTACTTATGGTAAAAACCCGTGCGGTGCGGTGCAACCGCGCGGAGTGCCAGATTTGGGGCTCGTGCGGGTTATCGGAGATCCTTTGGACCCCGACTGAGCAAACCGAGGAGGAGCCCCACAAGGCAACCCGGGATGGCGGCATGGAGTTGGAATCCACATAAAATAAATTCGACATGCAATGGGAACTCCCATTGGCCGCTCTGGGCATGCCAAGGGCTGACGGTATCGAATTCCAAGACGGTAGGGCTCCAGTGGGAAGGGTTTCGAAGTGCTGTTTTTCTCCACTGAACATGTTCCACGATGTGTAGGAGTCCTGTCACTGTCAGGGAAATTAAGAACAAGCACCTAAAGATCCTAGATCTAATCCAGAATCCAGATAGTGTAAGGGGCTTGGGGAATCGGGGCTATCCAATTTGGACGATTTTGTGTCTCTGCAAAGGACAACTGCAAACGATGTCTCAGCCATCTTCATACGTATCGCCGTTTTGTTTCACAAAGGCCGCATTCCCGGATTGATCTACATTCCGAGAACCCTCTGATCTTTTCTCACAATGTTTCCACGTGGGGACGATTACCTGGAGTCGATCTTCGTTTTGAAGGAGCACCTTGCGGGTGCATCACGACGGGTCCACGGGGCAATTTCGCAGCCGAGCTGCGATGGAGCAGGGTCGCATCGTGATCCATGCATGTGTTGATGATATCACCCACTTTCGCCGTTTGACCGTTATGTCAGAATATAGAAAGAAATGAGTGCTTGGTTGTTCTTGAGGCCTAAAAACCAATTGGATGGTGAACTGACTGGTATTCGGAGGTAAGAAATCCAAACGCAGCTGAATATTACCTGGTAATACTCGTGATAATTTTATTGTTACTTTCCCACCTCAGAAGTCCTGGGAGCGAGCCGTCCAAAGGGCGCGTGCAAAACGTGGGGTTTGAACAAACATGGAGCTGCAAGTAAGCCGCAGGGCAAGCCACAGGCGCACAGGCGCACATGGAGCATGCAATCGAGCTTTTTTCTGTGCGTCGTGGTTTCCAAGTCTCGAATTATTTCTCCTTTTCGACATCTCGTTGGGCGTGAGGGTTCCACATCCACGCTTGCGATTGGTAAATCTTTCATCATTTTCTCGGACGGGCTATCTGCCGGGGACTTTTCAGAATCCAACGGAACAACACTCCCTGCTTCTGCAGGCTTGCCTCTTGACGCCTCCCGCCCTCCGCCGGACGAGGGCCGTGATGGTGGTGAAAAAAAAAAACCAGGCACGCCAGGGAAGGATTTCGATTGGATGGTGGTTGGATCCATTGATCCTCCCCACGTTCCCGCAACCCACTTTCCTCCTTCACCCTTCCCCCCTTCTCCTTGACTCCCTTCGGCTCCCCTTCCCAAGAGGGCGGAAGTCCACCATCCCCCCCATGCCTCCCCCTGCAAGCCCGGGGCGGTGCGCGACTCCGTTGCACCAGCTATCCAGTCGGACCCTGTGAAGTTCCCGAATGCCCACGCCTGTCACTTTAATAGTCCGTCGACCTCCCAAATACTGGTTCCAAACCTTCTTTTTGTTTCCTAGTTGCATTGGACTCTGTCTCGTCGTCGTTTACCTTACGTCTGACGCGTCGTTTCTAGTCGACCTTTCTTGTCATTCATTCCTTCGTTTATTCGGTCCTCTTGGCATCATAATAATATTTTACACCAACCACAACTTGGCGAGTCTCGAACAGACCAAGATAATAATAGTTCATCAACACTTTCCACCGAGCCGTTCCGATCCGAAGTTGTGGGTGACCTTAATCAACGAGGAGCAAGAGGGTTAAGAGGAAGGATCATGTCTTTTATGGGCGCGGGTTCCTTCGGGAACTACGACCTCACTGCCCAAACCACTGGAGCACCACTTGCTCGGCACGCAACCCACGAAGAGCAAAATGATGCTGTGGCACCGGCATTGACGGGCTCCCCTGGGCGCAACGACGATGTGACCAGAACCAGAGCAACTTCAGTTACCGAGGTGGCCGACAGCGACTCCCCTGCAAACGAAAAGAACACCATCAAGGCGGACGAAGACGACGATTCAGATGTCATTGCTGAGGAGCGCCGCAACAGCGCAATTCTTGCCTTGGCACGCAAGTACACTTCTCAGTCTCAGCACGCTGGCGATGGCGGCGTAAACCCCTTCAGCATTGCTTCAACTGACGAGAACTCACCCCTGAATCCCAATGGCCCCAACTTCAACGGCCGCGCATGGGCCAAGGCTTTAGTCAACACTCTGGCCGGTGCCGGTCAGTCGTTCCGCACGTCTGGTGTTGCCTTCCAGC